AGTTGAGTGTATCGGTAAAGTTATATTCGGAAAGAATAAACCAGTTTTATTAAGAAAGGACTTGTGTCGCTTAAGTTTCGTCGGAACGAAGTTACGGAAAGTTAATTAACAAACGGAGACGTAACAATAGCCTTTTTAAATTTGTTGGGGGGGATGACATTTCGATCTATTGACGCTGACTTTCGTTAAATAACTGGACGTGTGTCAATATCAGAAAATATCTCCAAGATATACCTTGACTGGTAATTGTTTAGTACGTGGTTACAATCTTACAAGAACAATTTATATATACAATGCTGCCGAATACGAGCCATGGCGCCACGAAAGATATGTTCAACAAATATATTGGTGTTTAAGTAAAACTGTAGAACATTCGATAATGCAATGCTGTAAAAAAAGAATTACTACTGGATATTTATTAACAGTCCTTTGTGAGAAATAGTAGTCGATTATCTAAAACGTTATTTCAAAAAAAGTCTATACAGGTGAGTAGCATTGGAGAGAGCGTGGGGGTAGAGTTTGCATCTGAAATTTCTATGTCATCCCTGAGAGACCCTAGGTTTTTGAGCGGGTACATAATCAAGTTAAACAGTGAAGAGCTAATTAACACAAATTTTCAGTTTTCTCCGTTGAAACTGCAAAACAAGTACAGCAAAGCGTTTAGGGCAGCAATAGGATTCAAAACCACAATGAAAGCCAGTCTCGAACAACGTCTTCATCACAAAGTGAAAACTATTGTTAAGTAAAACAAAGCAATTGTATACGCCACTATAAGTGAAAAACAACAACAAACGAGTAACGTTAATTAGGCTGCTACAAAAAGTAAAAATAAAAGGCACTGACTCAACTGAAAGTATTTGTATAATTAAGGTACTATAGATCTCGAGGTATGAGCGTGTTTATATACATCAAATAATGAATAAAAATATCTGACAAAATGTGAAGTGAAACTATCGCTTTCAAGCAAAGTACACACTCGTGGAATGTTTTCTCGGTAACAGAAAACGATATGTGATGTGCAGCCACGGCTTAACGTTTCAAAAACACTACCGACAGATCGTGATCAACAAGGGTTATCTTTATCAGCCATCTTAAGTAATGCTTCACTGCACTGCGCACGAAAAAAAAAAAAAAAGGTCTGCCGGGTTTCACGACAGTGTACTGATAACTGCTTCTAAGTTTCTTGGCTTCGTGCTTGTTCGTATCATGAGTCAACACTTGTGTAGAGCTATAAACGCAAAGGTAACGTATATTTTAAAATTAAGGTTGTACCACAGTTAGGGTTGCCATCTGGCCAGTTTTTTACTGGACTGACCAGCTTTTTTATGGATTTGCCGGTTGTTACAAAAACAGTTTAATCTGCCGTTTTTTATATGAGTCTAAATATTTCCATTGTTGTCACATTATAAGGAAAACTCTCATATTAAATAT